TCCGTCAAACATCCGTGAAAGAGATGCATACGGAAGGGCAATGTCTGTGTTTGGGGTGGCATCTCTTTGGGTGGACGCACAGACCTCCATGTCTTTCCAAGGGGAACCGTGAATGCTCCGGTTTATAGAGATGACATCCTTGATGTTTATGTGCGCCCATATGCCGGGGTAATAGGTGACGCTTTCCTGTTACAGGACGACAACGCAAGACCACACAGGGTTCGCATCGTAGATGATTATCTTCAACAGGAAACAATTATGCGCATGGAGTGGCCAGCTCGATCCCCGGACTTGAATCCTATCGAGCACGTTTGGGATGCTTTAGGGAGACATCTAGCTGCTTTCAATCCGCCCCCTCAGACCCTTGTCGCGCTTGCAACTGGTTTGCAAGAGCAATGGCTCTCGCTTCCTATGGAACAGATAGACCGCATAATTGAAAGCATCACACATCGCTGTATGTGCTTCTAGAGTGTCGCTGTAGTCTTCTAGAGTATGTGCTTCTATTGCTTCTAGAGGCGATCATATTCCATATTGAAGGTACTTTTCCTATAGCAAACTGACACCTTCGATTTTCATTTATCATGTGCTAATTTCTGTACTACCATATTGTCGGTAATTTCTTTTTATGTTATTTGATACCTACTATGTGTGGTATTGTGGGTAAGTTTCATTAAATTCTACATGTAACTTTTTCAGTAATCGTGATTTTTGTGATTTTTCCTTAATTTATGATAACCAGTGTATATTCCTACTCTGTCACCCGGCTCGGTGAGCTAAGTTTTTTATTCTTATACGTTGGTAAATTGTGCAGTTTTTGCTTTAAAAGTGATTGAATTATGTTGTTCTTATATTTCGGTTATAGTGTTTTTATGACTTTAGTTAATCTGCCTTCAATAGCATTAAAATTATCAGCCGCTGTTGTTTTGCATTTGAAGCTCTTAGTAGTATAATGAATTAATAAGCAATTTGGTACACCACATTTAATGTCTTTTGGCCTAGTAGGACCAAATATTAATTTTAAATGTCTGTGCACCGAAAATTTTGTCTTTCTGCTCGTTAGTCGAATGCTTGTTTTCGGGTAAAAAATCGAATTTGAATGGAAGAAATTGTTTTTCTTTAACTATTTTCATCTGTATTTGGTGTTTTATGTTCTTTTACATTCTACAATTTAAGATGTTTTGAGTTTTTATGAATTTTTGTCTTGCCGCGAAGTGAGAACTGAATTGATTGAATGAGAAATATATCTGTAATGAAATTGAAGTAATAGGCCAATACAAGTCATGTGGTAACCATATTAGATGTTTTAAATTGAAACAGTCGAAAGACTGCTATAATTATTAACTGAATATAAAGTGTACATTTGCTAGTAGCTTTGTGTACGTAAATTGATTTATTTAATTTCCTCAGTTTTCGATATATTTTTTTAATTTTATTTTCCTCTAACATATCCATTAAATAATGAAGATATTCACCTTCCTTTAAGAAAAGCCCTATTAGATACTTCCCGTAAGTTCTCCAGAAGAGTAATCTTCAGTTTACTTTAACACGCGTTAACAGTAATTGACAACTGATGCGGGAAGTACAACATGTGTTTCATTAGATTAAGAGTGCTTCATGTGGATGGTGGGAGAAGGTAAACCCATCGTACACGCTCTGCCGTTAATTTGAAACATGAGGGACGAAAAGATATTGGAAGAGATTCTCGTGATCCCCAGGGAGTTCCTTGGCTTCTAACTTTGACGTATACCTTGGGCGTTTCCTGAGAGGATAAATATAGACGCTGAAAAGATGATCCGAAGGTTTTTTTCCTCTGCAAAAGCCACATTTTTTTTACTAGATACTTTGAAAATTTAGGTTGAAGGGAATGTTACACATCTTTGAATATATATCCTTCATAATTATTTAGGTCTTTTGCATTTATTTAATCAGTTTGAAAAGCACGTCGTATTATCTGTATAAATAATTTTGAAATTTTCGTGGTTTAAAATTTTTAGACGGCTTCTTGTTATGTATTCTATTATTTAAAAAAGATCATTCTTTGAAATTAGATTTTGGATTAGATTGGATTGTGACAAAGTACACTAAAGCTGTTTACTTAAGGGAGGGGTACCTTCGTGGATGCCTTTTAAAGAGAAACTAGGTGATGCTTGCCTTTCACAGTGACAGTTTTAAGAGAAATACAAACCAACGTGCATATTGTTCTGTAAATTTGAAACACGACTGCATCAGAATATCTGAATATTATGTATTTATCTAAAAATATTTACTTTTCTCTGTACTGATTTGATAATTAGTACGTTTTCATTATATTTCAAACTACTTTAGCTGCAATCTGTAGCATATAATGCAGATACATATTTTAAAACTGCTGTGGTCTTCCACTTTTATTACAGATGTTGCGAGTAATATCTGGGGTTGTGCTTCCCATTAGATTGCAATGTAATTAGGGTGTGCGGAAGAAATGTCACCCGGAAAAAAGGGAAACGCAAAGAATGTCCCCGGAAAATAAGGAACGGAAAAAATGTTACCCGAAAAATAAGGAACGGGAAAAAAGGAACTCTAAAAATCTCGCCAAAAATTATCGCCAGTCTGAGTTGGGGAAAACAGCCAAATTCTCATTTAACCAGGAGGGTTATAGAGGGCTGTAGATTGAAGTCATTAATGCAAAATTATGCATATAATTTATATGCTGCGTTAGATCACTGCGAATTTGAAATTTAGAAAAATGATAAAAACTGACAGTGATGTTGCGATCTTCTTTCTTTGTATGTTGTTTTTAGACATGCCATTTTCGTTAAATTTTGTTTACTTAAATAAAAATTTCATATCAGATGTCGACAGTGTTTTTATTTTCTGCTTATAGGGTCTGACTGTAATGATGACTAATTTTCGTAACTCAGTGATTAAAATTCTGGTCGATAACTGAAAAATTTTACTTATTTTAAATTCTTTTGTTCATAATCTTGAGAAACGAATATCAAATTTACCTTATGTAAAGCTGATGCTTACTGAATATGTAGAAATGACATGCAAAATTTTCAGTCTTTGTTTGGTAATGATTTTAGTTAAACACTTCATGGCTATCAGGGGACAATAAATTGGGCTTGAATAAAGTTGGCTTCTGTTTTCTGAATATAGTGATTTTACTTTTGACATTAATTACTTTTATGTATACCATGCTTTTCTTTGCTAGAAACAAAACCAAGGATTTTTCTTTTTAATCAAAGCCCAGAGAGTGGAATCCTTAAATAATTTCAATTCAACAGTGCAATGCTTTCTTTCACTGTTTTTCACCAGAAAGCGGGAGGATAGAAATGTTGAGTCTTAACCTCATTCTTCGTTGCTAATTCTGGTTACCTTAATCAGTTCCTATGCATGTTGTGGTTTCAGAAGCTATGTGTGTGCAAGTCAGTAACCGACTGCAATCTGGGATGGACTTCTAGCAAAGAATGTGATATTAACTTTAACTAGAAATAAGTTTTTGAGAATTGTTTTAAATGAAACTTGTTAGAAATAAGCGGCAGTGTATATCAGCTTGCACCTAGAAATATCTTTTACGGTACAATCTTTGACATTACATTGTTGCGTGCGTACGAGTTGGTAATAGGTTAAATGCACAAGTCCGATAATAGGTTAATAAAATTTATTCTTATCCAAAGAAATATATCAGAACTCTGGAATTTTCCTCAGAGATATTCGTACAAGTGTTCACAATATCACGAAATATAATCAGTAGTTATACTTCAAACTATTAGAAACGTTAAATACGACCAATACAAAGCGCATCTAAAGCAACTGAACTCGGACGCTCTCTCCGGCCTTTTTTAGCATTCAACCGGTCGCGAGATATTTCTAGTACTTTCTCGAAATTAACTATAATGCAATAAGAGAGTGAAATTACGGTTACAGCTAACATAGTGATCAATTAGATTTATTCAATTTAAATACAAATTACCGAGATATACATTTACTCAATGTTAAATGCACGGGCCCCTGTATTCTTACTTTTCCGGCATAGCCTTCTCTTAAAATTTGTCTGGCCCTACATCGCACGAGGATATACAACAATTTTATTTATAATTCTACTAAAATTAGCTATTTAAATACAAAATTCGAAATAATAGATTTTTAATTAATTTGAAATTGTGTTATATTCTGCATTAGATCTGTGTGATATAACATTGAATTTCAAAGGAATTATAGCAGCATGCGCAACCAGGCATATTTTTATTGTTACAAGTTTTGTATATATCTAAATAATTTTAAGGGCCCACCAGCGGCCGAGCGGTAAAGACGCTGAACAATGGTAGTTCGGTCCGAGCTTCGAATCCCGCGAACGTGCTGTCTGCATGGATGTTTTCGTGGTTTTCCCTATGTGTAACGCGTATGCGAGCCAGTTTTCCTTAGAAAGTCGTTCACGAAGGCATCCCTCCCTTCAGGCAGATAGCCCTCGTGTGCTTTGCCATAATTGAATAATCCAATCAAATCCTAAATAATTACTATGAAATTGTTTGTAAAATTGTAGTATCTGTTGTGCAATTGTTGAGATATTTGTAATCGCATTCTTACTGGTTAAAAGGAAGTATAGCTTTCTGTCACGTCCAAAATATTCATTAGCTTTCAGCCAGGTCCGAGTTATTCGGAAACTTAAATCTCATTGTATTTATTTTGTTTGGTATTTATTGTGTCTTGTTTATGATTGTTAAACCAGATCTGTTGTGAGTTATATATATGACCTTTGTAACCGCTTATCGTTGCTTGATTATCTGCCTGTACTATTTTATCTGTGCTATTGCTTTTACTTAGTATTATTCTGCTTGCATGTAACTCTGCGTATTACTCTGCATATTCAGTAATAAAATATTTGTTTTGCGAACCACGGCATTTTCTATGTTTACAGCAATGTAACGTGAAATATATATATATATATATATATATATATATACACACACACACATGCACTCAGAAATACATAATTTATTTCTTAACTCTCCTGGCAGGTATTGCAGGAAGGTCAAGGTTGCTGCTAAATTGTATTTGGGAACTGGTTCTTCGTCGTCACATAGCAAGGCTGTTAACCCGTTTTTTCTTTCATTGGCTTCCGCGTGTCTTTTGGAAGTTAACATATCTTTGTATTCAAATAAAAGCTTTTTAGTGTTTTCTTCTCATTTTGACCTTAGAAACATTTATAGTTCAAATATTTCCACATTTCGCTTAACGTGTCTTTACGTCAAGTTACGTCAATATATAGCATTAATCATCCATACAGGCCACCAAACTGACAGTTCTCGCAGTTGTTTCGAGTATTGCGGTGTACAACTTTTACAAATTGGTTGACAAATTAACCGTAGTTTTGCATAGATTTTGAATAAAACTATCGATTTCGAGGGCGATCAATCATAGCAAACAATTATTTTTGCTTATAATGAAAAAGAGGGTCGGTTCGTCTGTATCTGATCTCTCTTGACAGATAGAGTTTTATTCAAAATCTACTCCAAAGTTGATTTTTTGTCTAATTTTAAATTTTACATGTGCTCCGATCTAAATAGATTCTTCTCACTACCACTGAGTGGCAACGTAATAAATAGTAAAAAATTTATAGGATTTAGATAAAAGTTAAGGAGCAACAATAGGAAAGAGTATTTTTTTGATTTATGTTTATATGTAACTCGAATGTTAGGTATTACATTGTTTAGGAAGATTTACTTATGATATTTCTAACAAATTCCTTTTAAAATTAGATCGACTGTTTGTTTTAATTATACCTCTGAACCATTAGATGCACCTCTCATAAGAATTATACTGCATAACATAAAATGCGACGCACAAAAGAAGGAGTTATCCGAATGGGACGGGAGCATACTGCTCCTTTAATAAAGGTAATGAGTGGATTAGTATAAACTTCTCTTTTACTTCACGGCCTTTGACTTATATGACAACCGGCGCCACGCTATATTTATTTTCCAAGTAGCTGAAAACTCTTTGTGACATAAATGCTCCTAAACAAACGTCCGCGCCGCATGAGCGTTGACGCGTTAAGTAGGTTGGTCCAAATTTACACATTCCGGCGAAATTCTATATCAAAAATGCGGAATTTCGCAAGTTCTTGCTTGAAGAAAGTTATTCTAAGCAAAACTTTGCTCAGCAGAATTAATTTTCTTCTGTTGCCTTCAAGCGCGACTAGTCCCAGGAAAACATCTCCACCGAGAAAATTTTTTTCCAGCTTTTGTGTTTTAGTTTAGTCTTGCAACTGGAGAGTAAAGTCATTTAATGAGTAAAAGCTATGAATAATGTTTGAGGGTCATAGTTGATGCGTGAAGTCTGTCTAGATACGGATGGTTTCTTCTTTCATCACGTTTGTGAGTCTGAGGAAATCGTTTTGCTTGCTCTGCTAGCATGAGTAGTGGCTTCTATCAGTCAACTTATTTTAGGCATGTGTTTGGCTGCTATTAATCACCATGTTGTTAACATAGTAATTGCAGTATAACAGTTTCTCTTCTTCCAATGTATTTCCAAATTTTCGGGAAACTTTTGAATGCCGATGGTGCATACTTGGCCAGAGATATCTTCTCAGCGTATTGTATTCTGGAAGAGTGCAGACCATTGTTATTCGAAATAAGTTTTGCGAGGACATCGATATTTTATTTCATTCATGATTAGTCAGTATAATTTAAATTCTGTGAGTGTCTTGTGCGACATAGAAATGGGGGTAAAATTTGCTAAAATTTTGTATTTATGAGTTTTAAAAAACTGGTTTTAAGTAACAACTACTTTCAAAGTGTATTAAATTAAATTCTGAAGACGTTGCGTTATATTCAGCTAGTAAGGTATTTAATAAAAGGCCATAAATTTATAAAAATTATATTTAGAAATTTTTCGGTTTCTAATATCTGTAGGCAAGGGTATAGAGCTAAAAAGCTGAAATACAAAAGCAACTTGATTTCTCTTACTTAGCGATGTAATTAAAAAACAATTGTGCGGTTTTAAAGTTTCTGAAAAAAATCCCAGTTATTTGGATTTTGATATAATGTAATCATTTCATTGAAGTTAAAAGTAAATTAACTATTGGAACTAAGAGATGCTCTTTCGTCATGCAACGTAATGTGACATCACGAATACAAAATTTCCCACTAGGTGTGTTAACTTCATCTAATCTACTGAAAAGCGATATTAGATAAGTATAAAACGTTTGGCGACGTGATACATCATCAGAGTAAGTTAAGTGCAGCTATTTTTTTTTTTTTTTTTTTTTGATTTTATTTTTGCTGATTAAAATCATAGCAATTTTATGTTGCTATGGAAGTTGCCGTGTGGATATTTTATTCCTATAACAAGGGAGTCATTTCCTGCATTTTTTTGGGGGGGTTAGCATTATTTACATGATAATCGATAGAAAATGTAAATAAAATTATGCTAATGAATAACACGAAAATAAAATTTCAAATTAAGAAATTGATCACTTGTGTGTTTATTAAGTTTTTATGTCAATATTCCATGTTATTTTCTGTTGCGATATTGGAAATTTATGTTAAATGCACCAATGGCAAAAAAGGGGACCTTCCCGGTCTCTCTCTATAAGTTTAAGAATAACGACTATATAACTTTTTAATTTATGGTTCATATACATTTTTTGGATCCTAGTAGTATATAATTTATTGATTTTGTAAGTATCTTGCCGATTATTCGGTTGTATTCATTAAGGTCCTAATGTTTTCCTTTGAACTAAGCCAAAAATGCTCATAACCTTAAATACGAGAATAGAAACACCTTGTTATTGAGAACAAAAACCTTTGTTTAGTGCAAAAAATTTAATTTTTTTTATTAATACAAAATTTATTTCCTAAAGTTCTGTTATAACTTTTTGTGGTATACTGAACTAATTTTTTATATTTTTCAACGAGTTTAACATGCCATGCGTCTTGTATGTACTTCTCTAAAGTCTCTTCAGATTTGATCATTGATGGTGTGTTATTTTATTTTTTACCTTATATCATAAGTTTTCAGTTGCATTTGGGTGACTGAAAGGGCCGTAACAGAATATCAGTCATATTTCATTCGATTGAGCTTTTCGTTAGTTTTTCAACGTATCGATGTCAAAACACTTTTTGGAGAACATTCGATTTGTTAATTCTCCTGATTGCTGTGCGTTGTTGGAATATTTTGTTTTCTTCTACAGATTTTTTTTTCTGTATAATTCACGCAAGAAAAGCAATTATTTGAAGAAAAATTTGAAAGCTGAACAGAAAGAATAATACATTTTGTAAATCATTCACTTTTTCAAAAGGGTAGATGTGATTTTCTTTCTTTCTTTTTGTTTTGTTTTATGTCCAAAGCATTTTTGTTGTAATGCAGAAAGCATTGAGATACTAATACCTATTCAAAATCGATAATGATCCTTTTAAAATTGATAAATTATATCCCCAAGATCCAAACAATATACATTAGCTATAAATTAAAAAAGTTGACCCGTTAATAAATTTACAATAAAGAAAAATCCCCCCCGCCTCCCTCTATAAAAGTAAATGCATTCTAGGATTTTTTTTTTTTTTTTTTTTTTACTGATTAAATTTAACAGATGCTGAAGAAAACGTGTAATGAGGCGAGAGTAAAGTACGAGAATGTGTGAAAGGGCCGGATCATTACAGGATTCTAATTAAACGAGAGTTATCTTGTGAAATTAGAGGAGAGTAACTCATAACCTTAAATACGAGTATTGTAAATTAATGGAAAATACTCAAATAAATAATTACTCATGGCAACTATTCAGATTAAATAATGTAACTGACTTTTCAATAACATTTTGAGTATCCAGAACAGATAACTTGAACTACATTTTAGTTGATTTCAGATTTAAGGATTTTTCTGGCCCATCTTGAAGGTCATGTGATACTTCTTTGGCGATATGAAGCACTTCCAATGATGGAACACAGCAATAACTTTTATTTAACACTCAAAAATGGCGACATACAAACAAGAAGAGAAAAACATATTCTAACATTTAAAAATAAATTACATTCTTCGTGCGAGAGTCGCACGAGGCACTCGAGTCTGGTTTCAAATATTGCCATTCACAAATACCTTAATGTTCATCTATTTAAATTATTTAAACTACAAGATTTTAATATTATTTAAAGCTGTTACAGTCTTGAGTGAGAAGAAGGGAAATCATTCAATGCCTCGTCAGCATTGCTCTCAAAAGCACTCTTTCAGAAAAAAGCGTTTAGGAGAAGAATGTTTATGGAGCCAGGGTTCCTTCTTAGCGATTGGATGATAATGGTGTGATGGTCTCTTACACATCCTCTTCAAAGCCCTTGTCTTCTGAGTAGCTGTTGTTGATGGTGTACTTTTATCGGTATGGATTATTTGTTTTGTCAGCTACAGATTACCTGAAGTGCAAATATAAGCAGTGGTTTATTTCACATCACGCATGTTTTGCAAGAGTTGTGACTAGTTTAGAAGGTGAATATTTTGACCATACTTACCGAGCATAAATGTGAGTTAAAAGTGTGAGTTTTATTTTCTGTTAGCCCTATAAATATTTTTATTTTATTCATTTACTAGCGGAAGTACCCGATGCCAGTTAAGTTAGATTGAGAGTAATGCATCTAACAACAGAGAGAACGATACCGCTGTAGTCCTTCTCTAATAACGATGCAAAAAATACGATTCATAGTCATACATTTTTTTCAGTCTGATGAACCCACATAAAAATTTCGACAGAAAAGTAAGCTATTCTCTCTCATTATATCAGCAACAATGTTTTCGTCTTTCTAATCAAGTGGTCGTAAAAGCTCAAGTTCTATCCAATATTTCACCTATATTCAATTTTAGTCGATTAAATGTGGCAAAAAAATTATCATAATTGATCAGAATCAATAACGTGAACAAACACCCCACAAACAGACATTCTTCTTTATATGTATAGATTTTGTAAAACTTACAAATTTTTAACAAACTCTACGATTTGAAAGCGAGCAGTAGCAACACTTTTCGAAATGAAGCATTTTTATCTCCAACGTGCGAGACTGTTGCCACTCGGAAAAATGAGTGCGAAAATTAGCGCTTTCAGGGTTTTTAATTAGTATTTCGGCTGCTTAAAGTCGTACGAAGATAGAAATAGTCGAAATGGCTTCCCACGAATTTCTGGAATCGGGAATAATGTATTTAA